TAGCAAAAATGAATTTATTAGGTTTTGATTGGTGTTTTGAGATCCTCAGAATTATTGTACTGTGAGATATGTGCTAACGCATTGGCACCAGAGTTGTTGGGCAAAGAAAGAAAATTAAATCTGGTAGGAAGTGGGTGGGTGCTACTGTGAAATGTGTGCGTTTGGAACTGATAAGTCTCGTTAGTCATATAACAACCATCAAAACATGGGCTCCTCATTGTACAAGACTGACATAAACACAACGACAGCAATGCCAAAACTGGGTATGGATGGTCTGCATGGTGTATTAGTGATAGTGACTCCTTTTCTGTCTTCCAGGTGTTGCTGGAAAGCCGGGCTCACTTGGTTTGCCGGGAATGCCTGGCCGGAGCATGGGCGTTGGATACACTTTAGTGAAGCACAGTCAGTCAGACCAAATCCCACCTTGTCCCATAGGAATGAATAAGCTCTGGGATGGCTACAGCTTATTGTACGTGGAGGGGCAGGAGAAGTCACACAACCAGGATCTTGGTGAGCTGACAGGATTCTCTCAGGCATGAAAAATGTAGGCCAAAATCTCGTTTTGAATGAACAATCTTCATTGGTACCACAGGTGATTGTAGTAGCGGTGGTGGAAGTCTGTTTGGGCAGAATCCCTGCTGGGAGCAGCGTTGCTTGTGCCACCCTCCACCACTCACGTCTGGTGTGCATGAGCTGGAGCCTTAGGCAGATGCTTGCTATGACCACTTCTCCAATTTTTCCAGGTTTTGCTGGCTCGTGTTTGCCTCGCTTCAGCACCATGCCTTTTATTTACTGCAACATCAATGAGGTGTGCTACTACGCCAGCCGAAATGACAAGTCCTACTGGCTCTCCACCACTGCTCCTATCCCCATGATGCCGGTGGACAGCGTCCAGATCCCACAGTACATCAGCCGGTGCTCAGTGTGCGAAGCACCTTCCCAGGCTGTGGCTGTGCACAGCCAGGACATCACCATCCCACAGTGTCCCCTGGGTTGGCGCAGCCTATGGATAGGATACTCCTTCCTTATGGTAAGGATGGTATTGCTAAAGCAAAGTCAGCTTTGAACATTTCTAGACCTCCTCTTTGATGAGGTGACCGAGACTGTGTTCTATGAGTTGCTTACAGGAAACTAGAGCCCGGTAGCTTCTTGGCCTTGCGTATTTACTCTTGACCAGCTGGCCTGCTGTAGGCTTTCTGAGTTTGTTCCCGATTAGCCGGCTGCCTCGCCTGTACTGCTCAAGTTTGGTGGTAACATCAATGCAGTAGTTCTGTATTGCTATAGATATTCTTTGTTCTTCAAACCTTTAAATGTGGAAAGAAATGCTAATTATGGTACAGCATTGTCTTAATCCCCTCTCTCAGTGGATAAAGTAGAGCATTTTCCATTGCACTCTCCTAGAAGCTCTTTAGTGTAAGATAGTTAGAAAAGTATGAAATTGGCTTTCCACATTTTCCAAGCTTGCAAGCGAACAGCTGGATTTCTATTATACCAGGCCTGTATGTTCAGCCTGAGTACGTTCACTTGCTTCTTCACCTCTAGCCCTGACTCAAAAGACAGATAGACGTAGCCGAGGTATAATTTTGGTTGCCTGTTTTACTCCTTTTCACAATGGAACTGGAGGACTCCCCTGTTAACATCCCGTTCTGTTCCCTTAAACTCCTTTAAATCGACGTCTTTATTTCAGCATACTGCGGCTGGTGCGGAAGGCGGAGGTCAGTCGCTTGTCTCACCTGGTTCTTGCCTGGAGGATTTCCGTGCTACTCCGTTCATTGAATGCAACGGTGCCAGGGGAACATGCCATTACTTTGCAAACAAATACAGCTTCTGGCTGACGACCGTTGAACAGTCGCAGCAGTTTGTCAGTGCTCCTCCCTCAGAAACGCTGAAAGCGGGACAGCTTCGAACACGGGTCAGCCGTTGCCAAGTGTGCATGAAGAACTTGTAGTAACAAAAATGCAGCAACATTAACAGTCTTTGTTACCTAAGACAAGACATCGCTGATGTGAAGAAGGATAAATTCATAAACCTGTGTTGCGTGTGGTTGATGAGTGAATCAAGACAGCCAGAATTCTACAAAAATCAAGTGTCAAGTCCAGGATTTTGACTGCACACAGAGGAGAAAAAGAACAGTGCTCTTAAACGCCTTTTTTTTTTCACAGAACATGGTGCTATGCTTTTACTTCAGTGGGGTTTTTTTTTCCCCTCATTTATGGCTACCTCTGAGAGTCGCTGCGAGTTCCTTATTGCGACCAAAAAGTAACCAATGTCTCACATTACACCACTCCTCTGTCCTAGGCACATGCCAGTCTTCAAGAGAGATTTCCAAAAGTTATGCTTTATTAGTGCCTTTGCAAACAGTATTTGGTCTAGTGTAAGGGAAAGAAGACTCATTCCCCTACAAAATACAGAGCTAACTAAAATTTGTCAGTGTATTGTAGGGGACTTAGAAACATTAACGGCTGATGACTGACTTCTTTAGGAAGACCCAAAGATTAATTTGGTTTGCTTTGCTTATTAACCAGATGGGATGTTCTTTGCTCCAGGGACAGGTAGTCAGTTCTAATCCAGGCCCTCATCCACGGTTGACGCTAAAGAGCTACCCCAGTGAAAAATGCAGTTTTTGATGTGAAGATGAATCCAAAACACCTCTAGCATTTTTCACAGCTTTCTATTGAAATATATCCCAGGTAAAATGTCTGCTTCAAGGTCTGTGCTTATCTTCTTGCAGTCAAATGATGCATAGCCACCAGAAACATTTCACTGCTTGAGGTAGCCCTGGCACACTCGTTTGGTAATTACTCCAGCTGTGTGTATTTGGAAAGCAGAGGCTTTAGTAGGCAGCATGCAAGCTTATGCAGACACAGAAGTAAGCAGTTATGGGATGTACATTTTTTACTTCTTACAGGCACGATGTGTTGTATATTTCTTCCTCTGGGCTTTAGTTCCGTTAGTTTAAAAAATTGTATTTCTAGTGTATGCATGGTTAACCAGTCACACTTTCCTGCAGGGCATAATTAAAGAGAAGTACCACTAATTGTATTATTATCCTTGTATATTTGGAGGGAAAGCCATGAAACAGGTATGCCAATATACATATAATGACTTCGTTTTGTTGGGCTGAAGTTACTATTATCAGCTTCTCTAGAGTAAAGCATATGAAATCCTCATATATTAACATTCCAGGATATTTGAAAGAAGTGTCTTGCGAATACACTGTCACCTTGGCTTAGAAATCTTTAAGACAAAATTGTTCAGAAAATTATCATTAATGCAAGACTGAGACATTATTTTAAAGTATTATTTTTTTACTAGGTTCTGGGGCTCTGGTTCTATCCAGCAAAGTACTTAAGAACATACTTACTTATAAGCAGATAATATTTTACATGCATTATATAGTATTATCTTCCTAGACCAGGGTCAGAGAGCTCTGCATGTTCTACAGTTGAACCACACTGGAGACGAGCAAGAAATTTGTGAGGAACAATTTAGTCTTTCATGTAACTTATTCCTAATCGTGAAGGCACTGCAACTGCTTTGGATGTATTTTGCAAATATCTTTAAGGTATTTGAACGCTCCTGAGCAGCAGTTCTTTTATGCAGAATATTCAGCCTATTTCTCAGCTGTCCCAGCACAGACAGATCACATTGTATTTACATCTTGGGTTATGCAAATACAACTTTACCACACTGAGGGTGCAGAGTGAAGCTCATGACTTTCTGAAAATTTGTGCAAGTAACTTGCGAACTACGATGACTTTTTCAGCCACTGGGCTCCCAAAGTGTCACCAGGTATTGTGTCTACAGGGACTTGGGTTTATTTTTTGAATGTGGACACATGAAAATAGAATTATTTTTTTTCCAGGATCAGAGCCTTATGCATTTTAAGCACCACCATCCTTAGAGAACTGCTTCTATTGCAGTAACCTGGCCCTGCTGCTATCACTGTCCAAACTGCCATTGTGTTCCATGAACCCAGCCCTCTCCCCACTCTTTACACCCAAGGCCCTCTCTGCTGGGAATTCCAATCTCCAGCCATTCTGCCATCAGCCCCGGTAAAAAAATCATAAATCTGTTTACCCCCCCACCAAGAACAGTTTGTCAAGAGCTCTGCAAGGCCAACACCTCCTCGCTGAAGAATGTTTACAGAACAGCTAAGAGCTATGTGGGGAATAAGTACGCTGTACGCCACTGATTGATTTTTTTTTTTTTTAATCATTATTATTTAACTTGGGTGCTTCCTGCCACTGATTGAATTTTTTTTAATCATTATTATTTAACTTGGGTGCTTCCTTCCTTTTTTTTTTTTAGCAGTTACTGCTTGAGACTGAGCATTTCAGAGCAAGGGGTTCTTTTTTGTCTATGGGGAGGAGAGGACTATGGTTGCAGTTACACAAACAGTAAGTTCATGTATTACTTAAGAAGTAATGCTTTGTTTTAAAAAAACATGCAGTGGGTAAGAAAATGATATTTTTTTTCTAAGTATGTAGTTTCCAAACTGTGGTTAATAAACATTGTAGGCAAACAAGCTGCAATATGATATGGATAACTATTTTCTTGGAGATCACACTGGCCCTGACCAAGAAGTGCAAGTGAGAGGAGACAGCATTCCGCATTTCTCTATGTCGTCATTTATTGGTGAAGATGAAACTGTGCGATTCGTGCCCGTTACACTACCATGACAAAATGACCATAATGGGGACCGTCTGACAGTAAAAAGAAACTTTATAATGGATTAAAAGATCTTTGCCTTAAATTTTTCTGAGCTGTTTTTCTCATGGCTGCTAGAGATATGCTCTGCTTTCAAAATAAACCCACACAGGCTGTTCTGATTAACCCGTGGAATTAAGGCACTTTTACCAAAACACATTTCCAAAGGCAACATGTCAAACCCCAACAATTAAGTAATTTGCATAGGCCTATATATTAAGTTTTAAGATAACCTGGTTTATATTTAGTTCACACACACAAATTAACAAAATATAGCAGCATACAACCTATGAAAAGCTTAAGAAATTTATTAGATGCACAGATAAAGTGCTGTAACAGAGAAACTTGTGTAAATCCTTTTTAAAATAAATAAGGTACAGTTAAACCACCTTTGACTCATTTTAGCTCTGAAAGAAAAGTCAGCCTGCGTTTTGATGATCTGAATTTTAAGGTCAAGGTGCAATATATCGTAGCTATAACAGTGGTTGTGATCTCTCGACTATTTGAGTCTCCTGTTCCTCTTGAGGTTTCCCAGAAACAGGAAGGCTATTGCAAAACGTATACATTAGACATAGTTCCTTTTACAGAAACATTTTTGTAATAAAGTGTGGTTGCTCAAATACATGTTAAAATATTTAACAAGGAAACAGTTTTCTTCTGATCCAGTTGATCTTTTAAACAAGACAATGTATTTTTTCTACGATGCAGCCCACAGGAGGGAACGGAAGTAAACATCCTCCTTAACTGAAGACTGTTTTGCTTTAAGAACTGAACTATTGCATTATACGAGAGCAAGAAATATCCATTTGTTGTTATCCCTTTCTCCTAACAAACAGCCCAGTGATATACTGATTTTTTGCCTTAATCTCAAAGGTCCTCTTGTGTTCAGGAAAGACACACATGTTAAAAAGAGGTTCCCTTTAAGGGTCTTATTATAAGATCTTTTACTGCCTTTCCATCTGGGGAAGCTCTTTGAGAGCAGGAACCGTCACTGTCGGAGTTTTGGATGCTACCAGGTTTTTGTGCTCTGTTATCTGTGATTTCAGGCACTTTGGGGCGAACATGGCTGTTTGATATAAGTCAATGCAGTAATACTAGCAATGTGCTCAATACTCAGAAGGGTCACCACAGTTTCCTTCATACACTCAGGATTTCAAATTCTTCTTCCAACTCAAATAGCTTGTCAGTAGATTCAATGAGTTCTGAAAAAAAAAACAAACACAATTTAGAATCTGAAGACATGCCTGATGTTGTTTACTTAAAAACAGAAACAAACAAAAAATTTCTGGAATGTGGCCTTCAAAGCATTTTGTAAGATTAAAAAAAAAAGGTATGTGTCTGTGCTAGCAATTGTACATGGCCTGTTTGGATAAATGTCTGACATTCTGTAAGGAGAAGGGATTTAACCGCATGGTGATCGCTTGACACTTCGGGAAGCATCGTTATTCCACCGGTGGTTATTCCTCTGTTTGCTCACGAGGAAGGCTGCACTACACAACAGCCCTTCCAGTCGGAACCGCACCTGCCCCGGTCGTCGTCACTTCTGGCTTCGCTGGGGGTACGAAGGGAGGCCAGTGAGGGGGGTGCTTCTGGACCAGCTCAAACATCCGCAGGCTCTGCTGCTTCAAAATCTCCTGCGGACAGAACACTCGTGTTTGAAAAGATGCCTCAAGAGAAGCTTCAAACATGAAAAATGTCTGCTCAATTAAAAACATTTTTAATTATGCATGTCTATGAAAAAACAATGGCTTTATGCAGACACACCATTATTTCAAGTACCTGCCATTATGAGTCACTGCTTTGCACGTCTCTGTAATATTTTCCTAGCTGAAAACACCTGGAAGACAGATCTCTGGAACTGTCGTGCAGGTTATCAGTGCGCTATAACTAGCTTTGCTATCCATACACCTATAATTCTGTCTACAAGTGGCAAATGGACCCCAAGAACGTACAGTATTTTCTGCCTTTTAAAAGAAAATGACTTGCACAGACCTCTCTGTGTTCAAGTTTTTTGATGCTCAGTGGGAACAAAAGACAGATCTATCCGCTCAAAAAAAACAACAGCTTTTGAAGGGTCGGTTTTGATCAGGAGAAAGAAGTTATTATTCCACTCCTCTTCAGTCAGGTAAGCTACGTCATACCCTGCATTTCAGTTGTCTACAAACTGTTTTCCTTAGCCTTTCTTTTTCGTTTTAAAAAATGCCTTTAGAGGTTGATGCTACTTCACATTCATACTTCTGTTGCTTAGCACACCTGCTGCACACAGAAATGTCCTGGTACTAAGGACTAACGGTCATAATATATTATTACATCTTCTAATTATGTCAAACGATAAAAAAGGATCACGAAGCAACTAAATAAATAAATTGCTAAAACATGGTGGTTAATTTTTACTTGTAACATTTATTTCTCAGTAAATTACTCTGTTTCAGCCAGTAACATCGTAGTGCTAAAAAAAGAAAACCTTTTTAAGGGTATCTGTTCACACCCATTTTCCCAGTGGCAGGGTTCATGGCTGTCAAACTGCTGAACAAGCTCCGATTAGCAATTCAGTACGACTGGCTGACCCCGATGCATTAATGCATTCTTCTCTATGGCTCATTTAATTTGCATGCAGAGAAAGATGTAATGGGAACTTCCATTTTAAAAAAAAAAAGTATGTCATATTTCATACGGAGAAAATAAAGATAGCATTATTACCTTTTGTACAAGGCTACACCAGTTATCAAAATCACATTCTTCTTTGCAAAAGAAGCCCTAAGGAAAAAACACATACAGTAGTAGTATTAAATAATAACAGTATGTCAATGAATGAAGGACGCTGCGGTATCTTTATGCATTGTTTAAAGCTTTAGAAACACGTCTCGAGCGACAATCGCCCGTAACCCAACCAAAGGATACCAGCACGGCATCAGATCTGACGTCTTCAACTACCACAGTATTCTTGTGATACATACTGGATGACTTCTACAAGTAATTCCATTTAAAGATTTGTAAACTATGACCTAAAATAAGTTAAGCTTAAATAGCTTGTCCAGAGTGACCATGCATCTATGGTAGGGATGGAATAAAATAAGGAAACCTGATTCAGTTCCTTGCCGTGACCTTCAAAGTACTTCTTGCAGAAGGGAAGTGCTGCTCAGTAAAGAGGGTGAATTAGCTCCCCGGACACAAACAGCCGGTTCCCTGCTTGACTCAAGGTTAATGGATCCTATGCAGTTAATGCATAAACGACCACATGTTGAATTTTAGATCGTGGAAGGCTGCCCCATGATCCTGATTCGGCTCAAGGAAATGCGTTACTGCCCTTATCAATGTACAGAGGCATTACTGTGAAATAAAGAATACACATCTGTTATTTCCCAACACTTACTAAAGCTACCGAAGGGTCTAAATTCATGATCTTCATTCTGTGTGGGGCTTGCTGGCAGTGGAAGCTCTCATCATCAACTGTGCCATTTTCTTCCAAATCTACAAAACTCTGAGTGGTGTGAGGGTCCAAATAGATCAGCTCATTGCCTGTACGGGTGAAATCCAGACATTGATAATAAGCAAGAGACTTTAATAAACACTTACTCCATCCAGACTTGTAAAACAGAAATTAGATTATCATCACAGTTAATATCTAGACTTTCTAGCTAGGCAGTCTTTCAGAGAATCAGAAAGTTAGGCACAGTAGTTTCCCACAGGGTATTTAGTATAATTTTATCTTGTGACCTATTACTGTAGATTTTTTGGTTGGTTTATTCCACCTTTGTTGCATACTTTCCTTTTTCTGTGAGATACATTTTTTTTAAAAAAAATGTCAACTGTTGTAATCCCCAACATTCCACAGATCAAAAAGTACAGGATGACCACAAATGCAACCTGTAATCCCATCAGGCATTCATTCAGAAATTGGAACAAAGAAGTCTGACTAAAACAGTTCGGGTTTTACAAAAGGAAGAACAAAATACCCATAAAATTATGGATCAAACTGGGGTGAAATCTGAAAGACTGAATCTAGTATTAACTCTTGCTTTAATTAATAAAGGAATACATGGAAGGTGAAAAAGATCCTGCTATCAGAAGAAGTTTGAAATATGAGAAAATAATTTAAGAAAACTGGGAAGCAAAAAAATAGGCCAAGACACCCTGCATTAGGAAGTACTAATGATTATGAAAAAAATCAGCAGTTTAGCAGTGACATTCGACACTTGTCAAATGCTGTCAACCATTCTCAGTGTGTCGTTCTTGCTTAGACCATTACCTATTTTTACCTCAAGCTTTGCTGCTCTTTTTCTGTTCCTGTAAGGATGATACCACATTGTTCCCTGAAGTATTTGGGGTGTGTTTCTTCATTTCTTATACTCTATTCGCATGCTTAAACTGCTTAGTGTTTTCCCTTCCGAAAAACCCCCCTTTCTCTTTAGATCATATGTGTATTTGGGATAAGTTTCTTTTTTCCTTACCTAAAAATCCGATGAAATAATAAGCATTATTTGGTTTCCCTCCTAACGCTCCCAAAGACTGTGGCATCTTAAAGCATTCCTAGGGGTTCAAAAGGAGAAAAATGAAATTGTAGCCGATTTGTTTATTGATGTAACAGATACCTCAACTTATTTCACAGTAACAAGCAATTCACTGGTAAAGCCCTTACTTTAAACGCATCAATATACACTGGATTTATGTGATTTATTCCTAGCCGTAGAGGTATAATAAGCAAGAGGGGCTTCCAGCCTGTGCAGAATCCTGCTGGGTTCTTATTTCGGCCGAGAGCACTTCTGTGCAAATGTGCACTGCTGTGGGCCGCGCCGCTGCTCTGGGGAGGGGACCAGCACATTTTCTCTGCGGGAATAAAAACAGAGATCAGCGAACGCACAAAGAGGAACACAGAGCAGATCTTCCTCTCAATCGTGAATTAACCTACTTCACCAGACACCTTTACAGAGCTCCTGTTTTAAGGCGGAAGGAGCAGGACATGGCAATCGTAACTATTTAGAAGACGTAATTCTAGCAGACAGAATATGTGCTGGCACATTAGTGAGACATGAGATACACGACAGGGGGATCAAAATTTAAGACTGAAGTTACATTTACTACTAGCATTATTAATACTGGCAAGCTTTGCCCATAAAATGTCAGGGAAATGAAATGGCAGAGATGATAGCATTAGGAACTCTTCAGGGAACTCCTTACTTCCAATGAAGCGAACATAAAATAAGCAGGAGAAGGGACTAAAGTAGAAATAAGCTGTGGATAAATACCACTTGTAAACCCACCTTTCTTCCAACTGAAAATGAAACCTGGACATGTGTTTCTCTAGGATCTGCCCCTGGTTTCTCTTTTGCAGGACAAAAGCACATCTCTTTGGCAAGCTCTGTATTAAAAACAGTTCTCTATTTCTACACGCTGCAGCTTCGTTCCATTTCTCAGATAGGAGTTTAGCTAGCACAGACCAAACTCCACGGTATGTGAGGTGGCCACCAAAAAGGCCTACGTCATTCTGCGCTACCTTTAGTTCTGGACACCCAAAACCTGAGTCTGCATTTCCTTTATTCCTTTTCTTTCCCTGGGAACTAGCAGGGATGGCCCAAAAGCATTCTGTTCATATTTCGATAGATTCAGGAAAGTGGAGTCAAATCAAATACTGTAATCAGAGAACTCATGTTTCACTTACTGATATCTTCAATGACCACTGTATTGTCCATAGATACGTACACTGCTAATGAATTCCATTCATCAAATAAAGCAAGCTTCCTAGAAAACATTAAAGTAGTAATTAATATAAACTAATTAGGACCACAGGCATAGCTTTTCCTTCAGTACAATTAGATGGTTCTTGAGTAAAAAAAAGTGTTTCTTTGGAAAAACATATTTGTTAGATTTTTTTTTTTTAAGTCTCCATGTAATAAAAAGAGAACTTTGAATATTTACAGTTTAATATATTTAGAAAAATAAATACTGAGTGGTACCAGGAAAAGCACGCACACCGTATCATGTGAAAGCTGTTTTGTCCTTTTGCTAAATGCAGCGATAGTAACAGCTAAACCACGTAATTATGTTTATTACATTTTATTGCATTTAACAGCCTCCGCAATGGGATCCTGCCTGTTGTGCTTGGCACTGTCTAGAGAAGGAAAAAAATTCTGGTGCCAGTTTTGCACATCGCTTTTTGCTTAAGAAGTTCCAGTAAATTCAGTGGAACTATTTCTGTGCATGTGTGGACAGCGGACTCAGGGTGTTCAAAGCTGGATCAGCTAAAGGTTTCTGGCAGAAAGAGTTAGGAGGGAGGCATTATAGCACACAGGTTTCTGTCCACTTGTGTGAAATCCAAAACTCTGGAGAAGGGAGCTACACTCTTAAGCTGCCCAGGCAGAGTCAGCTGTCTAAAATAAGCCAGAAAAACCTGTACGTGAGCACTAAGCCATGAAGAATTTGTAAGTGAGCAGAGCTGGAGGCCAGCGCATGCTTTAGCTCCTCTCTCTTTCTCTCCAGAATGCGTGTCAGTCCCAGGGCTGCAAAGAATTGCTGCCGAGCACCCAGGACCTGCAGTCCAACCTCCACCTGAGATCTGGCACCTCCACCCATCCCTCAGAAATGGAGCAAGTCAGCTCTCCTCAGCGTGGCTTCTGGTCCAGGAAGAGCTGCCCGTGTTGCACACGGCAGCCTTCAGGCAGAGCTGCGGCTCAGGCAGCGAAACACTGCAGGTCAGTTCCCTCCTTGGCCTGGATGGCTTCACTCCGACGTTTCACACCACCGCGCTGGCCTGCACGGTGGCAATCCTGCCCTGTCAAAGCTGTGCCACCCTGTGGGAAGGGACACGCATCTCTGGTGCTTACTGGTTAGGGCACGTCAACGGCACAGCACGGGAGACCTTTCTGCAGGCCTTCCCCAGGCTCTTGGCATACGGTAATTTAGAACTCGCCCAACCCCAACTCCGTACCTGCCCACCGCACTACAGCATCGCGGTCCGCACTCTACTTGCGAACACACAGCATACATATTCCTAATTCTAAGCAAGAGCAAGATCAGCCTTTAAAACTGCCTCTTGGGCCTTATCTTGGTCTCTGACCTTAGCTGCCCCAGGGGAGGACATTCTGAATGAGCTCGTGTCATTTGACTTACTTCAGTACTTGAGCAACTGTATTTGGTCCAAACCATTCTCCAATTGATTTCCCCTCTCCAACACCCATCTGCGCTGTTTTTATGAGGGAAAACACACACAAAGAGAAAAGAAAAAAAAGACCACAGAGAGTCTGGTCACAATATATATTGAATAGCACGACCTACTAGTATTTTGACATACATTCTAGAGCAATTGCAAACGGTATTTAGCAACAATTATTTTCTCAATCTATGCTCTTTTCCAATCTTAATGACTGCTAGTTCCTTCCCCAAAAGTTCCTAAACTGTAATAAGAATTACAAATATTACTGTCCTTTATTACAAATTACAGCAAAAAATTTCGTGATTGTCTATTTTAATGCTATCAACTCTGGTACCCAAGGCTTACATAATTTATGAAGAGCTAGATTCTAGCACACAGATTTATTTAGGTCTCAGCGAATGACATTTCTGAATTATTATACTTTGTACCCATTTGTATGCATTTTAATTTATATATAAACATGTACATTGTCTTCATAATCACCTTTTTAAAATTTCAAATTATCATATTTCAAATTAGAAAGTTTCAATACAGTAGGAATTTCAGTGGGGAGAAAAAAAGTTGATGCATGTTCTTACCCATTTGGTGGATGGAATAACAGCAATCTTTTCTGTCTAGAAAGCACCGTAAGATTCTGTGATATTCTTCTGGTTGTTTTTTGTGTTTTTCCCATTGCCAGTCTTACAGGAAAAAAGTTATACACGTTAACAAAATAACGTTTCCATTGTCCCGATCAAATTTCTAGATAGTAGAAAGCCATACAATGAGATGTGAAACAACTCATGTACAATTCATCTCTAATATTTACATTTTGTTTAGAGTTTCTAGAAGTCACAGCTTGTCATTTATTATCAAGCTGTCCTTTATCATCACAGTCTAGATTGTGAAAACTAGGAAAATAAAACAAAAATGTCAACTGCAAATATACTCTGCGTGATCACTGCCAAGATGCTTGTGATCACTGCTGTATGTGAGCTTCCAAGATTGTCTAGAACTATATGCTCTGTTTAGATTTTTTCAGATTTGTAAGCGTACATCAGATAGTGATATAAGATCCATAAAGCAAAGTCCAAACACAGTGCTGGCCCTCTCCCACAGCAAAACCCAAAACACAGCTTTGCCACGTATGCTCTCGCTGCTAACGTAAGGTAGTCGCCACCCATTTACTGACAGAGAAGCACATACACAGGACTGATACTATGAAGTGGCTACACACTGCGAGTTCATATCCTAGTTTTTCTCAGGTGATTTGCTTGTTTGCCTACTCCTTCAGTTAAATCTTTGCACCTCCATTCTGTGGACTCTGCTATTCAAGTGGATAAACCCTTCTGTGGATTCAGGTATTGAAGCAGATAAATGATAAATCCACAAAGCCTGCTGCCACAGAAACCCCAGCACAACGGTGTAAGGATCACAAGACCTACCCGTAATCATTTGATTGACAGAGCAGCTACACATAGACCAGACCTACGATACCCACCTGCGATGCGAGGTGCTGATGCAGGCTTAAGAGCTTGCACTAACGGGTTCTGTTGTGGGGTTTGGACCTCAGGCTGGTGAGGGTGTGTGGTCTGTGAAGTACTTTGTACGATGTCTATCACTATGTCACTGTTCACACAGTCACCCTGTGCAAACATCTGGTGGCTACGTGAGCAATGAAGGGAAGGGTAAGAACTCCGGCCCACGGCCGCAGCTTCTCCCTTGGCCTCAACTTGGGTATTCCTCGAAAAATTTTATAAAACAATGACAACGGGATTCCCTATTTGTCATCCCTCTATTTCTCTGCTTAAGGCCAGCATGACTTCACCCCATCAGACAAGAATAATTCACTAGTAACTCCTATCAGGGCATCAGAGAAAGTTTCATCAATAAATATACATTTCGTGCTTTTATGGAAAACTACAACAAAATTGAAATGGTCTCCAAACAACACAGAAGTTCACTCAGCAACAGTACTCACCTCTTCCTAAATGTCTGCAGATCAGCGCCTGGGCCAGCATCATCTGCCCACATCGCAGCATACATCCCCAGCCAGCATCAGACGAAGGACCCGTGCCTCCTATTAAAAAAATTCATTACAATCAACACGGGCTTTAAAATGAGCACAGCGCCTGAGAGAAAATTTTGGAGTTAAAATCTCTAACAATTGTCCTACAGATAAGCAGCACTGAGCAAGACCTTTTCTTTCCACACTGCGGGCCGTAACTTTACTGCTTGCTCTACAAACACGGAGACCTGATGACAGGGAGGTACAGGTAAACACAGTTTTTAACAGCTCTAATATTTTGTTTGCATAAACAGTTAAAACGATGCTCAAAATGTTCTAATACTGTAAAAACCATTTTTCAGTCCATGATAACATCACTGCTATCTAACGTATAACAAGGCAGCTGGTCTGATGCATACTCACCGATAGGCGAAAACTTTCTTCTATACGTAAACCAGAGACGAGCACTTATATCCAGCAAGAACTTAGATTTGTCTAGAATATTTTTAAGAGAAAATAAATTATTAAAATGAACTTTTAAAACTGAAAAACTCTAATCTTCCCTGGGCAGTCAATATATAGAGCGCAGGAAGACTCCTGTTAGCTTTTACATATAAGACCCTTAATATTTAAAACATTTTTTAGCTATTTAAACACAGAGCTTTTGTAGACTGCTAATTAATGTTAACGATGAAATAATTGTTAGCCAATGAAGTTTTACAGGGTGTTTGGAATGACTATACCCAGCTTGAACAAAACAACAACGGAGAACTATGTCCTCGGGAAAGAAGTGGTAGAGCAAGTTAAGAAAGGTGAAGAATTTCTACACACAAACCAACATGGAATTATGCATTACCTCCAAACCCGATGCGGGGTCATTTTAAGAAAAGGTTAATATCATTAAATTTAATTAAGTAAATATCATTAAATTTAATTAAGTATCTCTCTCTTGTTTTTTTTTTCCTGATACATGCACTTACAGAATTCTCCCAAAGGCTCAGAAGGACTCTTCAGAATTATATATTTGCTGCACTTTCCCTGAGCCGTGGCTCAGCCTGACTGGCCTTTTCAAGCAATCCTTCAGCCGACCACGGCTGTGTGCGGTACCCTCAGCGCCTTGGACACCAGGCCTGCACTGACGGCCACTGCCCTTGGCATGTCACACAGGAGGATCCCCTGGTCTTCTCCCCAGGGGGCAAAACTAATTTCTGAAATCTCATTTTTCTACGATATATAAATACATCACTCTGCTATGACTTCTAGGTCATATATTTATTTTCATCACAATACAGTACATGCCCTGGATTAATTTTATTATTACTATTATTTTTCTTTTGAAATATCATTTTAGTCGCAAATAAGAGGCTGCAGACAAGCATCCCTCAAGGGCAAATAACATTAGTAATAACGAAGATCCCCCCAAATTATTTATCTATATCTGAGGCATCTGCGGTTGAGAAACGACCAGCCTTACACCTGACTAGCCTTTGCTACAAGTACGATCTCTTTGCATGAATTATGGTAGAAAGTATATTAGTGAACTTCTGGTTTCATTTTAGGATGAATACCGCTGCTTCTAGTTGGTGTCCTGTGGATGGAGAACAAACTTCTCTCATGAGACATTTGGAGAACAAAAGGAAATCAGGAGCTGCTACTGCATGTGAACCTGTGAATGCTCTACAGATTTTTCAGGTGAATTCTCATTCTGGAGATACCTGTGTTTAGGTGGTGTTGCCTTCCCAGAATCCACGCGGGCTCATCAGTTTCTGGAAATTCTTCTAAGTAGTCTGACAAAATCGTGATCTGGTTTTCATACCTAGATAAAACTGAACACACAAAATTCAAACTCCATTTTGTCCCTTTGTTCTTTCACACACAGCTTTGAGTTCCTGGGCTGCACTAGCTGCAGCTAGTCCGTGCAGTATTTGGGTCTTCTGAACGGTGCTGCCAGCTGCGTTTACTCTTTTCCTTTAACAAGCTGTTCTGGCACCGAAATATCCAATGTCCCGGCTGGTTTTTATTTCAGTTCTCAGCGAGGGCTGAGAGAATAACACGGCACCTGGATTATAGTCAGTCTGACCCAAGACAGCAGCAGAAGTTCAGGATGACTGCAGCGAGAGTAAGACTCAGCTCAAGGAAATGAGGAAAGGGGAAAACAATTTAGGCATCGCAGCGCAGGTGCCCACGCTCGATCTTAGCTATGCTCAGAGCGGTTACGTCCTCGTGCTTAATGGGAAGCACGTGAGAAACGTTAGCACGGCTGAGTTTTACTTTCCTAACTGGAGATTTGGAACGCTTCAAAATAGAAGATAAATTAATGTTATTATTCAGTGCTAGACCTGTTTACTGTAAAAATGACAAATGATAATTAACAGTGCTTAAGGAAGACCATTCCATTAGATAAACTAATTAAAGCAGGGGTTGTTGGAAGAGGAAAACAGGCCTTCAAGTGCAGAAATTAATGTAAAATTATTTCTTTTACACACCAATCTTAAGGAATACATTGCTAAAAAACCACAAGCTGAAAGCAAATGCAATTGTATCTTATTTTTCAAGTAAGGTTTTAAAGCTCCACCCCCCCCACCCCACCCCCGCTGTCAGGGAAC